CAAGCGCCATTCTGGAGTGCACGGTTAGGGCCACACACCAAGCCAACAAGCTGAGAGCCACGGCACGCAGCACTATGGGAATGATGGGGGGGCAAGAGGAGGAGAGGTGCGAAGATGGAGACGCAAATCTAAGCACGAGGCTGGTGGGACATGGGGGCCACCAGAGACACAGAGGCCCTGTCCTCACCTGGAGGCCACCTTCCTGCTGTGAAGTTGTTTCCAACCATGTTGCATGTGTGAAACCATGGACACGAAGGGGGAGGTCAGTACCTGGTATTTGTTCAGGTCCTTGATCCAGAACAACTTAAGCCGGTGCAATCCCTGCCCCTGTCCCCTGGGCGGAGCGTCTACCTCCAGAGGGTGAGGAGGCAGGGCGCCCCCTCCCTGCTGGAAGTGGGAGGGCAAAGGAGGTCACTGCGGGAACCAATAGAGAATGACCTGGGACAAGCCGTGAGACCATGAAGGCCAGCCCCAGGGTGAGCCCTGCAGCACTGTTATCACACTGGTCATTTAGAAGCCAAGTGACCACTCCGCTTTCCCCACACCCGGAATTTAGACGTTAGATTCCTCTAGTTACTAGAGTCTAGTACATTCGATGTGGCACATTATTTCCTGGCTGACACTCACTCCCAACAGCAAATCTGCACATTCTTTGGGAATGAGGCAAGACCTCCAAACCTTTTCCCAAACTCAGGCCATCGGCAGCATACCTGGACCCCACAGGACCCACACAAACGTGGGTTGCAGTGAAAAGGCTCACACCAGCACATTCCCTGCCCAGTATTTTCAATGAAAGCAAACACCCTGGCAATTCCGATAAGCCTAACTCCAAGTGACTCCCTAGGAGACTCACCTCACCTGGGGAGGGTCGGCGGACAGGGCACCTCTGCTCTCCCTCTGGGAGCTAGCCCTCCCCCCTTTGCCCTCCCTCCCCCCCCCCCCAACCTCCTCCAGAACTTCTTAAATTCACAGGAAGAATTTCTCCTTTCAAAATGATTGTTATCTCTAAACATGTCAGGCCACACTCCATCTTCCTGTGGACGGCCCTTCCCTGGTATTTCAGAATCTCAGGTTCTAGGATTTAACTGTCAGATCTAATCACCCAGACTGCACCACTGAAGCTTGACCCCTGGCGGGCCCTCCTTCCCCTGCGAGTGCACACATGCTCCGCTGGCCAACAGAGCTGGCCATGAGCCCCACTGTGTCGCCAGGCACCCATGAGAGCCAAGGACCTCTAGCTGTGGCTCTGCCCCAAGAATCTTAAGGCTGGGTGGGGTGAGAGCTCACAAAGGCAACGAGTCCTGGAGGCGATGGGCACGGAGAAAGGGCCCTGGCAAGGAGGGCAGGCAGAGCCCAGACAGATGAAGAGCACACAGGGATTGGAGGGGATCCACGCCAGAACCTGACCCCTTCTCACCACCCGGGTACCCCCTCCCGCTTCCTACCCGGCACCTCTCACCTGAACAGTGGCTCCTGCCCTGCCCCTGTCACCAACTGTCCCCATGGCAGCCAAAGGGACCTGCCAAATCCTCAGTCCCCTCCCACCACTCCTTTGCTCAGAGCCTCCAACATGGCTGCTGCCTCCTGGCCACACTGCAGGCGGCCCCTGCACTGCCTCCTTGCCCCCGCCCGGCTCCTGCCCCCACGATGCTGCCCCACAACTCTGACAGGCTGGCCAGGCTGGCCTGGGCCTCCCGGTCTATGTTTGACTCCCATAGAAGAAACCCCATAGAGGCACGGAATCTACCGTGTTATTCCAGGAACCCCACAGCCAGTACGGCACCCCACAGAGAACATGCGCCCACAAGTGTTCACTGAGGAATAAATGAAGCTGTGTCACTGCAGGGCTTACACAGCAACTTCAGCTCTCAAACTTTTTAACGTCCACTTTACTGATTGGCCTCCAAGAACCCTTCAGATTCCACAGAACAGGTGACCGAAAGAGGGCCAGGAAGCTGTAGGATGTTTGCTGCTTTAACAGAATCATGCCTGTGTCCCAGAGACAGACAGATACTCTTCACATCAGGGTGGTGACAAGATGAGCCACCAGGGTCATTTCGTAGAGCGAATGGTCCCCAGGCACTGGACACCTCCCACGGGCAAGGCAGAGGGACACGTGGGGTCTGGCTAAGACACAGAAGCTGTCTAGTGCTTGGCCCAAGTGGCTCTGTGGCACCCTAATTGGGGAGGAAGGTCCCCAAGGCCGACGTGGGTCCACACTTCCTACCAAACACACAGAGAAGACACTTGCTCACGAGGTGACTGGCTGCAAACTCCATCTCTTCCTCGTCACAGCCAATTCCCAGGCGAGGCCCAGGCAGTGCCAGTGATGGCTGGGTGGGCTGACAAGGTGCCCCGACTCAAGAGTGACCAGCCACGGCCAAGACGAGCTGGAACATGGACTCCTGGCTTCCTGGCTGACCGTACTGTAGCCCACCCCAGCAGAGAGGCCTCCCCAGGGAACACGGGGAGGGTGCTCGGGGATCACACCCTGGGAACAGGCTCTGCCCCTACAAAAGAGCTGCCCCGACTATGTTCTCGGCTGGCACGCTCCGCTGGCATGAATGTGGGTAGCCTCAGAATCCCCCTTCCAATCCCCTCAAAATGCGGCAGGCTGGAGAGATGTGATCGATCACAGGGGGTGGGGGGCAAGACAGGGCCTATTACTTTAACAGTGATGCTTATTTTCACAGGGACTACCTCTGGCAAATGACACTCAAGTTCTGGAGAGAGAGTAAGGAGACATGAGTGTGAACGGCACTGAGTCCTGGAACAAGAAGTGGGCAGCAGGGAGAAACCTGTCAAATAACCTGCTGACGCCGGCAGTCTGGATGACATGCTGCCCAGTGTTTCTGCCTCAGTTTCCATGCCGGCAGCGTGATCGAGCGAGATGTGAACTTCAGTGGAGGTGAAGGATGGGGAAAGGGCAACTGTACCCTTTTGGTAACTAACTCTTCTCTAAGTCTAAAATTCTCTCAAAATAAAAAGTTACAAAGTATTCAAACTTTTAAAAAGTGAGATGAGCTGTGGAATACTAAGTAAACAGCAGTACCGATGGTAAGAGGATCTAGAAAGAGCAGCGGGCCATCCAGGAATTTCTAGAGATTGGGAAACACGCATCATGTCACACACCTCTCTGTGCCGACGAGGCGGCCTGGCCCAGAGCTGCCAGGGCCCTTCTGTGGGTGGAGGGGGAGGGAACTCCCGGAGGGTTCGCCCTCAGGGCTCCCTTCTGCAAGTGAGTCTTAATAGATGTGGAGAAGACACACCCCCTCTGCAGGGGGAAGGCCCTCTCTGACCCCAGGGCCATCCACATAGGTGGACACAAATCTGTACTGATCAAAGGATCTCTGCCTGTGGGATCAAAGGAAAGACCTCAGACGAGAAATGAGAAATAAGGAGACAAGGCCTCCCAAAAACAGCCCTTTAAGGTGTCAGGATGCACCTCCTCCCGTCCTCTGCCCAGGCCAACCCAGCAAATGCCACCAGCCCCTCAGGCCAGCCGCCAGCTCCAATCCCCTACCTAGCTCAGACCTGGCCTTCCCTTCCCCGTAAGGTGGACAGGGCCCTGGCCAGACAGACAGAGGTCCTCCCAGGCCCTCACACCTCCCCCAACCTGGGCACCCCGGGGGGAGAAACCCCTCACTCGCAGGGCACTGAGGGCCACCTTCTCAGCACCTCTGGACCTGAGGGGACCTGCGGGATCCGATGGCAGCCCTCCCCCTTGGTCCAGCTATGAACTTTGAGGGGATGCCAGTTGGTGGGTGTGCACAGCCCAGTGTTCACACCCCAGGCTCTGCTGCTGGGGGCGTGGGGTGGGGAGGGTCCTCTGCAGCCCCAGGCACCGGAAGGAAGGCAGCCCGGGAGGCCCAGGAGGTCTTGGCAGATGTGCTTGCTTCACGGAGTCCCACCCCCTCCTCGCCGGGTCCCTGTCACAGGGACTCCGGCCTGGCGCTGACCAGTCTGGACAGGTCCTGTCACATCTGGCTGCCAGGCTCCCCCCCTGTGAACTGGCAGGACTCGACCCCACAGCCATGGGGATCAGGGACCACCCACTGGCACATGCCCTCTCTGGCCCCCTGACCTGATCTTGGTGGCCTCGGAGGGCACAGGGCCCTGGCCAGCCTCCGGCCGGTGCTGCAGAGGCCCAAACCCATGCAAACCTGTTGGAGCAGTTCGGGCAGCAGTGCCACCTCCTCTCCCTCCCCCTCCACTTACTTCTGGGTGGGAAGGGACCTCGGCTTTTGGAAACTAGGCGCAGGGCCAGGTCATGGCCACGGGCAAGAGATAAGCTTCAGGTCCCCAACCCCATCTTCCTCGGAGGAGAGCGTGAGGTCCCCGTCACACCGGGGTGTCCCCGCCGGGAGCAGAGGAGAGGGGCGGGGGGCCGTGCCGGCCAGCGAGGAGGCGGCCAAGCCGCAGCACCCACCCGCAGACACCCTTCTGTCACCCACTCCCCCGGGGCGAGCAGGCCGCCGGGACCGGGGCCGCGGGGCCGGGAAGGGGTCCCGCCCGCCAGGACGAGGCCGGGCGCTCTGGCCGCGGCGCTGGGTGGGCGCGCCGGCCGCCCCCTCCCCGGGCCCGCGTCCGCCCAGCCCCGCCGCGTCCGAGCCGCCGCTCGCGCCTCCCCGGGCCGCGCGGGGAAAGTTCCTGCAACTTCGCGGGGGAGGCGGCGGCCGGCCTGGGCCTCGGAGCCGGCCTGCGCCCCGCGGTCAGGCGCCAGGCCGCCGGCGCCCCAACTCCCCGCCCGGCCCGCCGGCCCCCGACCCGCTTTGTGCGCGGCGACGAGGGGCGCCCGCAGGCCTGGCCCCCGCCCCGGGCACAAAAGGGCGCGCGGCCGGCGGGCGGCGGGGCCGGGCCTGCGAGGCGCACGGGCCGGGCCGGGCCGAGCCGGGGCCGGGGCGGCGACCCGGGCCGGCCACCTCACCTGCCGTGGAACCAGTCCTTGCAGGCGTCGCACTCGATCATGAAGCGGGTAACGTCGTAGGGCAGCCGGCAGACGCAGTACACCGGCACCGTCGCCATGTTCGCGCCGCCCGCCCGCCCGCCGCCCGCGCTGCGCTCCGGGTCGGGCCGGGCGGGCCGGGCCGGGCGGGGGCCGGGCGGGCCGGGGCCGGGGCCGGGGACGGGCCGGGGGAGCACGACAGCCCGCGCGTACCCGCGGCGCGTCCACACAAAGCGGGGCGCGCGCAGGCCCGGGAGCCGCCCGCCGGCCCGGGGCGCAGGGCGCGAGTGTGCGCGGGGCCGGCGTGCGGGACACAAAAGGGAATGGACGCGCGGGGGCGGCGAGCGGCGGGCGGGGAGCCGCGGCCCCACCGAAGGGACCCCCGGCCGCCGAGCGGCCTCTACGTCAGCGCCCCGGGTGGCGCCGCCTCCGCCTGCGGCCTGGCCGCCGCTCCTGCCGCGGAAGGCGGGCCGGGGACCTGCCCGGGAGAAGGTGGGCCGGGGACCCCGCTGGGGGACAGGGGGACCGGGGACCCCTCCGAGGGAGAAGGCGGCCTCGGGGTCCGTCCTGGGCGAAGGCGGGTCCGGACCCCGGTTAGGGAGAGAAGGTGGGTCGGGGGCCCATGGGGAGAAGGTGGGCTTGGAGACGGGCCTGGGCAGCTCTCTGGGGGAGAAGGTAACGGGGGACCCTCCGAGGGAGAAAGTGGGCCCGGGGACCCGCGGGGAGCGGGGAGAAGGGAGACCCCCTGCAGGAGAAGACGAACGCGTGCCCTGCCAGGAGAGGGTGGCCAGGGTGTTATGGGGGGAACATGGGGAGGGACCTGCAGGGAAGGGGGCCGGGGGCACTGGGCGGGGGTGAGAGGTGGGCTGGGGGTACAGGAAACCCCGAGTGAGGGGTGAGGCCCCAGCGGATGTCCTTTCCCATGAAAAGGTAGAGGAGACACTGCTTGGCTCTAACTTTGTTCTGACTCGGCAGCGGGCAGAGGGCTCCTCCAGTCCCTTCCTCACTGCTCCCTTTCCTCCTGCCTCCCCCCTCATTCCTGGCTGAGGACACCCCGTCCTCCCTTCTACTGCCCCCGGACTTCCCTGATGCTCAGCTCCAGGGGGCAGGAGCACTGGCACAGGTCAGCTCTGTAAAAAGGGAGCGAGTATCCAAAGCTGAGCTGCCCAGGAACGCTGGTCAGGGCCCCCAGGCCTGGGTGACCTGAGGGTGGGGAGGGCAGCAGGTGCTCTGTCCGTGTTTGTGTCCCAGATGACAGCCCCATTGGTGGCTTAGGAGGAGGGGGTGTAGAGGTGCTGTGGACCCCAGCCTTTGCCCTGAAGTACTCCTCCCCCTCACCTGGCTGGTCAGGGTCTTTGGCATGTATGGGCGGCCGCTCCGCTGGCCGGGACCTTTTCTCAGGTGTCCTTCCGCAGACCCTGCCTGGCCCTCCCAGCTGCTGTGTCCTCCGTGCCCTTCGCAGGGGCCGGAGCAGAGTGGGCCCCTAAATTGGAGTAAGGAACCTGTGTGCGCTCCCTCACCCTGTCCCATCTTGGCCACTGCAAACTCAGAATTACAGACCCAGAGCAGGAAGTCTGGTCCAGACCATCCCACAGCAGCATCCTTGATGGGCCCTCGGCCTGCGACCAGCAGCCTCTCAGGGCCACTTGCAGGCAGATCAGTTGAAGTCTTCACTCCAAATTGAGTCAAAATCTGCCCTCACATAGTCAGCCATCCTCCCCCAATAGGGCCCCGCAGCAGTGCCTTAGCTGGGAGGTACAAGCATGAGGAAGATGAGACTGGAGGAAGGGGAGGCAGGAGAGGGATAAGCCTCCTCCTCCACCCTTTCACACCTTGGTGAGCTGCTGAGGGTCTGGAGCTAAGGCCTTCCAACCTGAATTCCAGCTGTCACCCTCCCTCCTTCCTCCTTCCTCCTGGGGACAGCCTGTATGGCTCTGAAAGGGAGTAACTCTTGGACCACTGACTCCCTGAAGTGAGCTAGGGCAGATAAACAGTGCTCAGCCTGCAGGTCAGAGTCTGTAAGGAGGCCGAGAGACCCTGCCTGGGCACTTCCATCACCTTCCCCTCCAGCGGTGTGGTCCACGGAAGCTGGAAACTTCTGGAGGCTACTGTGTACAGAGGAAGCCATCCTGACTGGGCATCCTCGTCTCTGACACTTCCATTTCTTTGTTTACAAATAGTGATCGTCACCCAGCATTTATCGGGTGCACTGTGCTCAGTTCTTCCCAGACCGGACCACTCTCACCAGCTGCTTCCAAAGCACTTAGAACCTCCCCTGGGTGGTGAGTACACAGTCAGCACTCACATAACACCGTGGGTGTTACTGCTGCCACTTTGGAGATCAGTATCTAGATGGGTGTCATGGCTGGGTAGGATTGGTGCCATTTCCAGAAGTGAAAACTGAGGCTCAAAAGAGTTAAAATGCTTCATGAAGGAGGTCAGCTGGCTGGTGAGGTGGGGGAGCAAGACAGGAACCCAGGCCAAACCCAAAGCCTATGCTGCACCCCCTGGCCACCCTCAGGGAGCCCTAAACACACACAACAGCTGGGAGCCTGTAATCCCACCCGTGGTTCACTGCTGACACTGGAGAACGGACCTGCATCTGGAAGTGTCAGTGAGACTCTGCTGTTATTCAGAGCTCTTCCACGGCTGTCTGCTGACCACAGACTGAAATAAGCCCAGACATGGGTCCCAAGCTCTCCCTCTATTGGGCTTCTTCTCTCTATAACTTTCCTGTTCTCTCCCATCAGAGAGTTTTCCTCTTCTCCAGGTTCACCCTCATTTCTTCAGCAGGTCTGGAGCACCTGCGTGTGCCCAGCAGTGCTGTAGCTGCGTGGTGGCCCCTGTGGAGCTTGTACTGCAGTAAAGGGAGACCCACACATATGCAAGTACTAGTGGACTGGGTGCCACCATGTCCTTAGGACACCAGCCCAGGGTGGGCAGTGGACAGAGGTGACCTGGGAGCAGAGGCCTGGACCAGGCAAAGCCACACAGAAGGGAGAGACGGCAAAGGGAACTTCCTCATAGGGATCCAGAAAGGAAGGGGCTGGTGGCTTCAGAGACCCAGGTGTCCTCTCTGGCCATAGGCATACCTGGAATTCTGCTGCCCTGAGCGTGGTGGCCGCTCCACATGATCTGCCATTGCCTCAATACCCACCCACCAAGTCTGCTCCATCCCCCAGGGCGCAGCACCCGGGATTCTTTGAGCATCTAGACCAGCCGTGGACAAACTACTGCCCGCGGGCTGGATCCTGCCCGTTTGAAATGAATAAAACTAAAAAAAAAAAGACCGTACCCTTTTATGTAATGATGTTTACTTTGAATTTATATTAGTTCACACAAACACTCCATCCATGCTTTTGTTCCGGCCCTCCAGTCCAGTTTAAGAACCCATTGTGGCCCTCGAGTCAAAAAGTTTGCCCACCCCTGGGCTAGACCTCACCACCCACCCCAAGTGGCCTGCCTTGCTTCAGGGTAAGGGGGTGGGCTCTCAAGCATGTGGTCCCTCTGCTGCCCTTCACCCTGGTGCTCCAAGAAAGCACAGCTGTGGCACTGCATCCAGTTGTGAGCATCTGAGACCAAGACCTGTTATTCACCTTGTTGCCCAAAGGAAAACAGCATTTTCTATTACATGTTCATTCAGTCAGTCACTCAACAAATTGTACTGAATGCTAGTGCAGAGATTTTTAAAATTGTGGTAACATACACCATAAAATTTACCATTTTAACTGTTTTTAAGTGTGCTGCTCTGTGGCATTGAGTACATTCACATTGTTGTGCAATCATCACTGTCACCCAGCTCCAGACATCTTCCCAAACTGAAACTCGTCCTAGTAAACACTAACTCCCCATTACCTCCTCTCCCTGGCCCCTGGATACCACCATTCTACTCTCTATCTGTATGAATTTGACAGTGCTGGCTACCTCATATAAGTGCCATCATACAGTGTTTGTCCTTTTATGACCGGCTTATTTCATGTAGCCTAATGTCCTCAAGTTCATCCATGTCAGAGCATACAATCGATTTTGTATGTATATACTAGTACTAGAGGTCTGATGCATGAAATTCATGCAAGAGCCTTGGCCCCAGTCCCCCACCCGCTGCCCAGGCCGGGGGCCTCTGCCGCCTCTGCCTCGGCCCGCTGCGGCTTTGTCCAGGAAGGAAGGACAGCCAGTCTAAGTAGCATATTACCCTTCTATTATTATAGATCATTTGGTTTATCCATTCTCTGTTGATGGATACTTTGATTATTTCCATGTTTTGGCTCTAGTGAATTATTCTGCTATGAACATGGGTGTACAAATATCTGTTCAAGTCCCTGCTTTCACTTCTTTTGTGTGTACATACACCCAGAAGTGGAATTGCTGAACCATATGGTAGTTCTATTTTTAACTGTCTGAGGAACCACATACTGTTTCCCACAGCAGCTGCACCTTTTCACATTCCCACCAGCAGTGCACAAGGGTTTTCATTTCTCCACATCCTCATCAACACTTATTTTCTCTCTCTTTTTTTTTTTTTGTTGTGTTTGTGTGTGCGTGTTTGTTATTATAACCATCCTAATGTGTGTGAAGTGGTATCTCATTGTGGTGTTTTTGCTTTGTTTTGTTTTTTGGTTCCACTGAAACTCCATAATCATTGTGATTTTGATTCACATTTCTCTAATGATTAGTGACATTGAGCATCTTTCATGTGCTTATTGGCCATCTACATATCTTCTTTTCTTCTTCCCCCTCATGTTTCCTTCTAAGAGTTTTATCATTTCAGCTCTGAAATTTAGGTCTTCGATCCATTTTGAATTTTGTATATGGTGTGAGGTAAGGGTCCAGCTTCATTCTCTTGCATGTGGATAGCTGGTTTTCCCAGCATTATTTGTTGAAAACACTGCCCATTCCCCATGGAATGATCATGAGAGCCTTGTCAAAAATCATTTGACCATATGGGGAAGGGTTTATTTCTGGGCTCTTTATTGTATTTTATTCATTTGTATGTCTATTTTTATGGTAGTACCACACTTTGAAATCAGGAAATATGAGTCCTCCAGCTTTATTCTTCTTTTTCAAGATTGTTTGACTTACATTTTTGTATGAATTTGAGGATTGGCTTCTCTATTTCTGCAAAGGGCTATTGGAATTTTGACAGGGATTACATAGAACCCAGTAGATGGCTATGGGTAGTCTTGGCATCTTAAATATTATTTTATGATTCATGAAAATGGGTTGTTTTTCCATTTGATGTGTCTTCTTTAATTGCTTTCAGCAATAATTTGTAGTTTTCAGTGTATAAGTCTTTCATCTCCTTGGTTAAGTTTATTCCTAGATATTTTATTTTTTTGATGATACTGTAAATGGAATTGTGTTCCTAATTTCCCTTTGGGTTTATTCTTAGTGTGTGGAAACAAAACAGATTTTTGTGTGTTGATCCTACAACTTTGCTGAATTTGTTTATTCTGTTTTTTTTGTGGAATCTTTAAGTTCCTAAATCTTGATGATTTCCCATAAGATCATATCATCTATGAACAGAAATAATTTTGCTTCTTATGTTCTAATTTTAATAACTTTTCTTTCTTTTTCTTGCTCAATTGCTCTGAACTTTCAATACTATGTTAATAAAGTGGGGCATCTTTCTCTTGTTCCTGATTTTAAAGGAAAAGCTTTTTTCTTAGTTTTCACTGTTATGACGTTTGCTTAGGCTTTTCCACATATATCTTTTACTATTTTGAAAAGTGTTTTCTATTTTTTTTTTAATCCTCACCCGAGGATATTTTCCCATTGATTTTTAGGGAGAGTGGAAGAGAGAGGGAAAGACAGAAAGAAACACCGATGTGACAGAAGCACATCGATTGGTTGCCTTCTGCACACGCCCTGACCAGGGCCAGGGCCAGGGAGGAGCCTGCAACCGAGGTACATGCCCTTGACCAGAATTGAATCCAGGACTCTTCAGTCAATGCTCTTATCCACTGAGCCAAACCGACTAGGGCAATTTTTTTATATTTTTATTGAGTATTTTTATCATGAGAGGGTATTGAATTTTGTCAAATGCCTTTTCATCTAGTAAGATGATCATGTTTCTATTAATGTAGTGTATTATTACATAGATTGATTTTTATTGATTTAAAGGATGTTGGGCCATCCCTGCATTCCAGGAACAAATTCTGTTTGGTCATGATGTATGATCCTTTCAATGTGCTGTTGAATTTGGTTTCCTGGCATTTTGTTGAGGATTTTGCATCAGTGTTCATAAGGGATATTTTTTGCAGTATTTTCTTATAGAGTCTTTGTCTGGCTTTTCTATCAGGGTAATATGAGCTTCATAGAGAGGATTAGGATTCCCTCCTCTTCAGTTTTTTGGGGAGAGTTTAAGAAGGATTGGTGCTAACTTTTCTTTAAGTGTGTAGTAGAAGTCACCAGTAAAGCCACCTAGTCCTGGGCTTTTCTTTGTTGTTGTTGTTTTTTAAATTGTTTATTCATTTTTAGAGAGAAAAACATTGTTTGCCTCCTATATACACCTCAACTGGGGACCAAACGTGTAACCTAGGTATGTGCTCTGACTAGAAATCAAGCCATGGCCTTGCGGTGTATGGGACGAGGCTCCAACGAACTGAGCCACACAGGCCAGAGCAGCTTTTTATATTGCTTCAATCTCCTTAACAGTCACAGGTCTATTGAGATGTTCTACTTCTTCATGATTCAGTTTTGGTAGATTGTTTCTAGGAATTTGTCCATTTCATCTAGCTTATCCAATGTGTTGGTATACAAGTAGTGCAGGTTTTATAGCAGTGAACAAGGCAGACACATTTTCTACCTCCAAGGAGCTCATACGCCAAAACGGAAGACAGACAGCCAATAACTGTCTGGGTGGTAGTGGGAGATACCAGAAAAGAGATACTACTAGGTCAATGCTGCATGTGTGCTTTTGTAATCGATGAATCCATGTAGCGAATACAAAGAGAGTTCTAAGACTGGGCCCTTCCTGAGGTACCAGGACCAAGCTGGTCTAATCCAGAACTGATTGAAATAAGCAGTGACCCATGGGAAGTGTGCCCTTTCTTTCTTCTTTCCTCCCTCCCTCCCTCCCTTCCTTCCTTCCTTCCTTCCTTCCTTCCCTTCCTCCTTTCCTTTTTCCTTTCACCTTTCCTTTCCTCCCTTTCTTTCTGTAATTCTCACCTGAGGATATTTCCCCATTGATTTTTAGAGACTGTGGAAGAGACAGAGAGAGAAACATTGATGTGAGAGAGACACATCGATTGGTTGCCTCCAGCACATGCCCCAACCAGGGCTGGGGATCAAGCTTGCACTTGATGTATGGGCCCTTGACCGGAATCAAACCTGGGACCCTTCAGTCTACAGGCTAACACTTTATCCACTAAGCCAAACTGGTTAGGGCAAAAGTGTGCCCTTTCTTGTTGACCATCTCTAGGATGGCCCCGTGGTGTTTGGAAGCACTGAGTTTATAGACAAAATCCCCTCAGCTGGGTGACCATATAATTTACTCTCCAAAAGAGGACTGTTAACAAAATACCAGAACAGGGGCAAACAGGCTTTTCCAGGCAAACTGAGACCAGAATGGCCCTCCCACAGTCATGTCTGCAGGGATGGGCATGCACCAATCACAGGCGTGAGCACAATGTGTTGTCTGGGTAGGTCTGCCAAGGGTGCCTCCAGCTGTTTGCTTCATGAGCTGCCAAGGCTGAGGCCAAGGCCGTCCTAGGCACCTGCCTTTAGGTGGCTGGAACTCTGCCTGGGCAATTCCCACCTGACCTCCAGGTCGTTACTCAGACTCCCTGACACCTCCCTCACCCATAGGAAGTTCCTTCTTTTCTCTGCATTTTCCTTCATAGGACTTATTACCATTGCTGTTGCTTTTTCATGTATATTTATTTTCTCTTACGCGCATTTCCATGTGACTGTTCTTTTCCTGCTCGGATGAAATGCCACAGCACAGGGAGGTAGGTCTCTGTTGTGCTCACGGCTGTCTCTTCAACAGCCAGCACACTGCCAGCCCTAGCAGATCCTCCGTGAAGTGGGTTTGAGCGCGCTTGGTTAAATACCAGGTGAGGATGAGGCCCTCAGCCTGACAGCAGCTCTCCTGCTGTAGAAAAAGGAGCACAGTTCCTTCTTACTACGCAGGCAGTTTTATCCCACTTGGAACTGTCCCCACGTGGGTCCGCGCAGGCCACTTCCAGTTACCCTTCTGTGCCTCAAGAAAAAAGAAATGTGCAACCAGAGCTAAGACACACCCAGCTGAGGTGTGGCCCACGGGTTCAGAGACAACTGGGCAGAGCATGATCTGCACTTACCAGGATGGCTGCACGCAGGGGGCATCAGCTGCCTGGGGCTGCCATAACAAAGGTACCACAGACTGGGTGCTTTAGAACAACAGAAGTCTGCGGTCAAGGCGCCAGCAGAGCCACGCTCCCTCTGGAGGCGCTGGGAAGGGTCTGTTCCAGGCTTTTCTCCAGCTTCCATCAGTTTCTTGGCTTGTGGCAGCATCTCTCCAATCTTCTTCACAAGGCCGTTTTGTGTTTATGTGTGTCCAAATTCCCCCTTCTTATAGGAACACAAGTCCTGTGGATTAGGGCCCACCCCATGTCAACATGACTTCAGCCTAACTAATTACACCTACGACACCCTATTTAAGGGTCTGAGGGACTGGAGTCAGGACTCTGACATGAATTTGAGGAGACATAGTCCAGCCCCCTGCACAGGTGAGGTGTCTAGTGCAAAGCCAGCTTTGGCCCTGTCTGCAGGTCTGCGGCCCAGGTCTGTGCGAGGGACGCTAACAGGACAAGCAGGGAAGCCCTGCATCCCACAGCCTGGGCCCGTATGGGGAGAATGAAGGTGGCTTCAGGCAAAGCGGCGGCCTCCGCAAGGTTCATTCTACCAAGCGGGGAGGAAAGGGGCCAATAAGTTAGACATTCTCAGAACTGAAGGTGAAAGCACTGGAATCCTTACCCACGTCAGGAAAGGACCGGCACTCCCCCTTTGTCCTTCAGGGGGTGACATGGATAAGGGGGCAGAGGGTGAATAACTTCTTAAAATTCGTGTCTTGGCCTGGGTTTTTAGCATCATAACAGAGCCAGGGCATTGGAAGTTCTCTGTCAACTGGAAAATGGAGAAACTGAAGACACAGTAAAGCATCAGAAGGGAAATGCCACCTTCACTGGCAATGGGAGCACATGAGAACCAGAAATCATTTCCCATCTTCCTGGCAAAGAGGTGGGAGGGGGTGCAGTCAGTGCTGAGGACCCAAAGGCCCTTCCCAGCACCCCCACCCTCTGCATGCATACCTCCTGGCAAAATGCTGACCGTCTGTGGGGTGTGCATGCATCCTCTTCCTTGACCTGGAGTCCACTCACAGCCTCCCAAGGGCCCCCGCACGTCCCCAACCCTGCAGTGGTGACTCACCCCTCACTGGCGGGTTCTCTCCATCCACCGCCCCGCACCTGGGCCCGAGTCCACCCCCCCCTCCCCCCCCCGCAGACCACTGTCCTTGGGCAGCTGGTCCACAGGTCCTCCCTGCCAAATGCCCGGTCACCTCGTCTGATTTCCCTCATCTTGTCCGAAAGTCTTATTTGTACACAGCACGCGGATACTGCTCCCCTCCACGAATGTAAAGGCCATGCAGGCGGGGCCCTGGGCGCCTAGCAGTGCACCCTGCGCGGCCGCCCGGGGCTGTGGGACAGGGAGAGGCAATGATGCCAGGTGGGGAAAACGTCGCAAAACATGTATGACAACCTGATTATTTTCTGCAACGAAAATAAAAAACTATATACTGCATAGGAAAAGGAAAGATAAAGAGCAAATGTAAACAGGTGTCTCAGGATAGAAGAATTACTGGGGACTTTTGCCTTTCTGTTTACTTACATTTTTAAAAGTTACTACAATAAACGTTACTTTTGAAATGAGGAAAAGAATATTTATTAAGACAACAAAAGGGTCAACGCCGGGTCAGAAATCGCCCGGTTTCAGGACGCGGCCCTGGTGTCTGGGCAGAAGGGCCGGTGTTCCCAGCGCCCCGCCGGCCCCTCACGGTTCACGCGTGGACCTGCCCGGGGCACAGGCCGTGCCGGGTCGCGGCAGCGGCGGCCCTGGGAGCTCGGCCACCGCGGAGCGGCCAGCGGGGACCCCGGCCGGAAGGAGTGCCGCACGGCGGGGCCCCGCACTCCCAGGGGGGCTGCGGACAGGGCGCGGGGTGAGCCGCGGCGGGACCAGCCCCGCGGGTCGGACGGGTCCGCGAGGAGCGGCGTGAGCTCCGCCTCCGCCACCCTGGACCGCGGCGGCGCCAGACTGCACTTCCGGTCCGCGCGCGGCGCCGCAGGCCGGGCCTGGCCTCCCGCCGGGCGGGGAACTCCGGCTGGGACCCGCTGCCCAGACCGGGGCGTGCCGGGCCGGCGGCGCCCGGGGCACCGACCGTGCAGGAGAAGCCCGGCCGCCCCCAGCGTCCCCGAAAACCCGTCGGCGCCCCGCAAGCGGAACTCCGCTCTGGGCGCCGGCAGTGAGGACGACGCCACGGCAGCAGCGGGCCAGGCCCGGGCGGCAGCGCTGGAGGCGCGGAGGGTGCGCGCGCCCCCTGCGCTGGGGGAGGAGCCAAGCAGAGCGCCCTGCTCCCCCCGCCCCCCCGGCCCGCGCGGAGCCGGCCCGCCCCGCCCCACGCCAGGCCCCGCCCCACGCCAGGCCCCGCCCCGCCTCACGCAGCCCCGCCCCACCCGACGCGAGACTCCCTCCGCCCACGGGCCGGAGCGCGCAGCCCCGCCCGCCGGCGTCCTCCTCCGACTGCGTAGCGGGCGGGGCCGAGGCGAGTCTCCCTGCCGCCAGGTCCCGCCGGCTTCCCCTTCCGCCCCGGGTTCCGCGCGGAAGGCGCCGATCTCGCGCCCGCAGCCGCGGTGCCCGCAGGGGCAGCTCAGGGCACGCAGAGGGCCAGCCCTGAGCGGAGGCCGGCCGCAGGCTCGGGGCGCCTCGCCGCTTTCCAGCCGTGTCGCCTGCAGTGGGTGAAAGCTGCTCTGCGGGTGGTGATAGTGTCGTCCTGATAGGATGGCTGGAACACCCAGAACAGTGCTGCTGAAGTAGCATTTCCTAGTTCGGCACCATCATTGAGGGGGTCAGAGCACGAGAGATTGACAGTGGATCCTCAGAAAACGGGCACCAGTAAAAACGAATTCCGTCGCCCCGTCTTGTGCTCAGCACTCAGAACTCACTGACGTAAAAACACGGTGGGCGGGAAAGACACGGCTGCCCGGCACAGTAACGCCAAACACCTTCGGGAAATTCATACCCCACCTCCCAGCGCGGGCGGTGCATGACCCCCCCAGGAGCGGATAGGACGGGGTGGGGCGATGTTACAGGTCGGAAACCTGACCAACAGCCAGGTAAGGTCAGTCCTCTGGTGCCGTGTGAACTGCGTGTGCCCCAGAGGAGGGACATTCCACAAAATGCCCTGCAGCACTCTCCAAACTGCCAGGACAACCAGTGCAATGTAGGGGACCCCGGGACAAAGAGGGACATTGAGTAAAAAGCCGAGTAAAGTATGGATTTGGCTAATGTTTAAAAAGTGGTTTAATCAAGACCAAATTTATTTCTTCCTTGGGCTTTTTAAGAAACAATAACTTTATTTCTAAGCCTACTCTATCATAGGGACTGTCTTCTTTGTAACAAACTCAGACACCAGCCTCATTTCCACATTAACGATGTATGTAAATTCCTTTAGAGCTGGAAACCTGGAATTACTTGCAAAGGACAAAATATTTCTCAATCTTGTTTATTTGACCAAGCTCTTCAGTAGCTGTTTCAATTTGAATTAAACTTCAGTAAAATACAAGGAATTTAAAAGTCACACCATACTTTATACTAAAAGAATAAAGATTTTTATTAAGCATTGTAAGTTGCATTCAATAGCCTTCAATACACCACACCACAACCCATCTACAATCAGTCAAACCCAACAGCAGTTCATTCTTGCACAATCCATGAGTTAGGGCAAAACTCCCTTCAACTTACAGTAAGATCCTACTCAGGTCTTGCGGGCAGGGATTGGGGAATTACATCTCGTTTCTGATCACTAATGTGTGATGAAGAGCATCAGGAGAATTATATGAAAACGAATAAGAAGTGATTCTGATTTCAAAGTACATTGTTTGGAAACATTAACAAAAACATCAAAATGATATAAGTATACCTGCTTCTACTAAATTCTTGATGGGAAAGTTCTCAAGAACAAGCAATTTGTTTCCTGCTACAGAAGGGGGCGGGGGGGTTAAAGATCAAAGGGATTTTTTTTTGTTTTTCACAGAATTTCATATTTTGCTAATATGAAGGAATAAAACAGCAACAAAGAACAGTAATGCATACAGCAGTGAATACACCAGGGTAATGTTGATACTCGAAACAGCTAGATAATTTTGGGGTGTTTTAGAATAAATGCAACAGAGGTCAATAATCACAAAATTTTAAGGTTAGAGCAAGATCAGTCAATGACTAAACAGAGTTAACATCTTTTATAGAACTATTACTGATTATTAGCATTTTTGTTTTGCAAATGGGCACATACTGGTAAGAATGGAAGAAAGGACAATAACATGCATAATATTAACTACACACTTTAAAAATTATGAACCATGCAGAAGTTTAGCTCAAGTAGTAGCACTAATGGTCTACATTCGATTCAAAACCACATAGTTCATTGATCACAGATGCATGGTATTTAAGTCACAAAAAGTTTCAGAACACATTGTATTGATTTTGAAAGGTCATTTGTATCTTCTATGATTTCAACTTTATCTCCATTTAACTTGCTTGTAAAGTATGTATGATGTACTGTATATTTAAAATCAGCAGAACGGCAATATTACTCTATAATTTTTTGTTTTGATAGTTGCACTTTTTCTTTTAACACAAAAGAACCACATCAACAGTGATGAAATTTAAGTAAGAAAGAAAAACTGTGGTTGTGCCTTATTTCTTTCATAATCATAAAATCAAAGCCTTAAACAAAGCTTTCTTGTGAACAGTAATGCAAAATCAAAGATAATGGCATACATATGGTGCCAAATGCTAAAAATGATATTTTAAGCTATATATACTTAAAGACTGCCAAAATTTGTTTTCTTTATAGTTCAAGAAACACAACTATAGGCTTTTGTCATAACCAGTTTAAACTTTGTGTGTACTTCATTTTAAGAGTGGGAGTCAAATGCTCTTCATTTTCTTTCTCTCTTTTTGTTTATTGTAGCATTTTGACTACAACTGGTTAAAACTAAAAATGTGTTTTTTAAATCTCTGATATCAAAGAGGGATCCGAATTTCCAAAGTCCTCATTTTTCTCTTACGGAAAGGAAAAAATGTACATAACTGTAGGCTCTCTTTCTCTCCAGATATTCCTAAATCCTTACCCTTCCAGCATCCTTCACCCTCTATAAAAAATAAGTTTATTCTTCTTGCTTTAAGACAGCTGCCTCCAGAGCATCAGCTCCACGGCAAGCACTGTCTGTGCTTAGTGCATTTAAGTGAGGATTTGTATTGCACGTCTTAGAGTCATTGTTCAAGGCACTTTCCGAGTGGCTGGGGGCCCTGGTGTCGCCTGCACTCCCATTCATCTGGGAAGCTGGCTTCTCAGCCACCACTCCATTTTCAGCCAGGGACCCGTCTGAAGATATGGCGGAGGACTTGGATTCCCCGGATCGCGACTTCAGTTCTTTGGCCACTTCTTCTGCTGAAGCAGCATAAGGGGGCTTGCCCTGTTTAAAATGAATCACACAGCGATTAGCAACTCTTGGTAAACAGTGGGAACCGGGATGCTAACAAGGCCTGATGATACTCACTGCAGATTCAAGAATAGAATACGGTGTATGTACTTTATTTTTTAAAATAGACTTTTATTTTTTATAACATTTTAATGTTTTTCTTGATTTTAGAGAGAGAGGAAGGGAGAGAGAAACATCAGTCAGTTGCCTCCTGCACGCATCCCAACTGGGAATTAAATCCACAACCTGGACATGTGCCCTGACCGGGAATCAAACCCACCACCTTTTGATGTTTGGGACAACGCTCCAACCAATGCGCCACACTGGCCAGGGCAGTGTATGTACTTTCCTCTACATTCTGTTATATACTCCATACACTCTGTAAGTCTGTATACACTCTCTGTACATTGTTATATACTCTACATACATCCTCTACACTGTAACATACTCTGTCTTCGCTTCTGATTGACCTGCATCTGGCAGAAGCTTCTCCATCTCAGCAATTCCTCCTGTGTCCCCATCCCTCAACTTCCCTGTAGTTAATGTGCTGACGATGAGGGAGATCCCCACTTGAAGAGCACTGAGTCATTTAAAGTAAAAAAAGGTCCCTCAATAAGTCTACTCTGAAGTTTCAAACTACGCCTGTCCTGCACATGACCTCCAATGGGATATCTGCACGTAACAGGCAGCGGGGACGTCCATTTCTATTGGGAAATGAAGAAATGACACAATCATTGCCGGGCAACCTCGGCAAGAAGGAAGTCTGCACTGATAATCGCTATATGTGTTTGTGGCTTATCTCTTCTGAAGGGGTCTCCCCCTCTTCCTAACAGATTTAAAAACAATTCTCTGGAAAAAAATGAACATTGGGACTGACTCAGCACATTTCCTCTCTGTACGGAACCATGAAGACAGACTGAGCTCTTCCAGTTGCTTACTTCCTAGAGCATGGGTTTCTCAACCTGACATCACGGCATTTTGGACCTCATCATTCTGTCAGGGGCTGTCTGTGCACTGTAGGGAGGTTAGAAGCATGACTGGCCTCTGCCCACACAAGTCCACAGCACTTGCAGCCAAGCTGTGACAATTAACCCTGTCTCTAAACAAAGCCAGTGTCCCCTAGGGCTGACATGGACAGGGCTGAGACCCACTATCAGAGACTGACAGTTGCTGAAGAAAACATTAATGGTCTTTACCTTCAAAAGGTCATTGTTCAGATAAGAAAACAGAGGCTCAGAAAAGGTAAGCTGCTTAGAGGTCTTCCAGCTCCACATCCCATCCATCCCCTTTCAACACAAGATGGTGATGCATCTAGTGCCTTCTAGTCCTTTCTACTCTGAGAATCAGGGTGTTTGGTTGAAAATAAAGACCACCTGCTCAGCCCAAATGGAGTTGAAGATGCCCATCACCCTTGTATTAGGGACGATTCTTCTATACCCTCTGGGCTCCATATGTCCCACACTGTCTTCTCATTTTAGTTTTCAATCCTAGAATTCAGGAACATTGATATAAACTTTTCCAGAGGTCTATACTATAGTGATTTTCTTGGAACCTTGAGATAAATATAAAAATATAGGACAAATAAAATATAGGAGGGCTAAGTAGGGACAAAAAATGATACGGAAGATCTCCAGTACATGCTTTCAAACCTCAAAGCCTTCACTCAGTCTCTCAGGAAAAAGTCCACTTGCTGGACCAAGCACACACCTGTGATGGTACTAGCAGAGGTGGTGGGCAGCCCCTCACACCCTCACAGGCGCCTGCTGCAGGAACTGGGTCAGGGGCCCGTTTGGTGGTGGTGGTGGTGTGTGCATGCACAGAGGATGCAACAGGAATGAGAAGGAAAGCCAGCTTGTACTGCTCTCTACAGTCCATTCTTCCTGCAAACTGTGGACACTGTGAGGCGTGCCCCCACCAAGTGACCACAAGCACAGGGTGGCACTACCTGCTCTGCACACATCCTCTTAGAGCTGGCCCCACCAGGATGGCAACAACAGAGACAGGAGGACAGCTCAGAAACTCTCAGGAGACAAGCTGCCCTTCATTTTCTGTCCTTCTCAAGATACAAGAACACTAATGTCACCTAAAATGAGCAACCAAAAGTACCAAGGTGGAACCACACGTACCGCCATTATAGAAAAACTAGAGGCCTGGTGCACGAAGAGATTCGTGCAATAGGCCTTCCCTTCCTCTAGCTGCCGGCACCGGTTTTCCTCCAGCACCCGGGACCCAGGCCTTCACTCCGGCCAGAGCCTTTAGTCTCCACTGCTCCAGCCAGAGCCTTCAGTCTCCACTCCGCTGCTTCGTGCCTACATATGCAAATTAACTGCCATCTTTGTTGGGTTAATTTGCATACTCTCCTGATTGTCTGATAAGCATAGCAGAGGGACGGTCAATTTACATGTTTGTCCATTATTAGGTAAGACTTAGAGGCCTGGTGCACGGATTCGTGTACCAGTGGGGGGGGGAGGGGGGGCCCTTCGGCCTGGCATGCGGACATCCCCCGAGGAGTCCTGGGTTGCAAGAGGGCGCAGGCCAGGCTGAGGGACCACACCGGGGCCGGGGAGGGACTGCGTGAGGGCTCCAGAGCGTGTCTAGCCCATCTCACCCAGTCCTGATTGGTCGGACCCCAGCAGCAAGCTAACCAACTGGTCAGAGCGTCTTCCCCCTGGTGGTCAGTGGACGTCATAGCGACTGGTTGAAAGGCAGGGAACAGCCTATTAGGCTTTTATTATATAGGATAAGGAAGGGACCAACATTCCTTTAGACCAGCGGTTCTCAACCTGTGGGTCGCAACCCCTTTGGGGGTCAAATGACCCTTTCACAGGGGTCACCTAAGACCATCAGAAAACACATATATCATTACATACTGTTTTTGTGATTAATCACTATGCTTTAATTATGTTCAATTTGTAACAATGAAATTGGGGGTCACCACAACATGAGGAACTGTATTAAAAGGTCGCGGCATTAGGAAGGTTGAGTACCACTGCTTTAGACAATGAAATATGGCAGAAAGGCATGTCCATAAACGGCCAAGACTGCTTCCTCTGATTTCAAAATGGGTTGTGACAGGACAGGACATACACCGATCAAACCAAGAAAAGCTAGGAAGTGAGGTGAAAATTTTAGGGAAGAATTCAAAATAAGAAAAGATTATTCAAAAAAAAATGAAGACTAAACTAGAAGAAACACACCACATAACATTATAAAATACCCAAAGAGAGTGAAAAGGAAGAAAAGTTTTAAAATCAGAAACAAAGACAGAGAAATGTAAATCAAAACTACATTTGATACTACTTCATACCATCTGGGATGGCTAAACTCAAAGAAATAACAAAAAATGTTGGTGAGAATGTGGAGGAACCAGAACCCTTAGACATTTCTGATAGGAGTAGAAAAAATGTGCAGCCACTTTGGAAAAACAGTTTGGTGGTTCCTCAATTAGTTAAATTTACCTACCACCTGAGAATTCACTTTTACCTATATACCCAAGAGAACTGAAAATGTGTACACACAAAAATGTGTCCATAATGACTTTAGTTAACTATACTCTATTGTACAGGTTGGGGCAAAAATGGGTTTATAGTTGTGAGTTGCCGGGAGCCGGTCCATGCTTGCTGTTTCAAGGGACCTGGCATATATGGCATACTGTTCTTAATATGTTTGCTCACCTTCTTGGCACTATGTGTTTTAACCAAGGTCTCTGAGAAAGGTTTCCCCAGGTAGGGATTTTCCCCTGAAGTTAGGGAGGGAATAAAATCCCTCAACTAAGTGCCAGGTGGGTAATTAATCACTTTAACTATGAACAATCATGCTTAAGCTACATAATCTTTACTCCCTGGAATGGAGATAAGAAACGCCCTAACCTTTGTAATAGAGATTGATAGGATTGAATCAACTGGTATAAATACAGTTGTAACAAGACAGCAAGACTCAGAACTTAGAACACAGAACTTAGAAGACAGAACCAGGAGGCACAGAACCTACATAGAACGTTCTCTAGAGACAGAAGAACTTCACTGGAGAGAACATGGCAAAAGATCCTGGACAGAAACTGGCCTCAGAACCTAGAGACAGAACCTAGCGAGAGAACTTGGCAAAAGATCCTGGACTGAACCTGACTACAGAAATTGGCAAGAGAACCTGACTAGAACCTGGTGACTGAACCTGGCTGGAGAACCTGGACAGAACCTGGCTAGAGAACCTAGCGAGGGAACATGGCTACAGAACCTGGCTGGAGAACCTGGAGAACCTAGCAAGAGAACATGGACACAGAACCTGGCTGGAGAACCAAATCAGAACCTCTCTGGAGATCCAGACCAGAACTTGGCTGGAGATCCTGGCTAGGCTGCTGATCAACTGAACACTGTCACCGTGTCATTCCTTCTTTGCCGACGCCGTCCACACCTTTGGGGACCCCTGGACCCGCTGGGGTTGGACCCCAGCAGTGAGTATACAAAACACAGAGTTTATTCTTATTTGTTGTTTATATTACTTTTCATATGAACTATAAATCTACTTTTGCTCCACCCTGTATATTTGAAGGCTGCTAAGAGAGTAGATCTTAAAAGTTATTACAAAAAGAAAAACTTCTTTAATTATTTAAGATTATGGATTTTAACTAGAACTTAATGTGGTTATCAATTTGTAATACATATAAACTAGTGGCCCGGTGCACAGATTAATGCACATTGAAAGGGAATTTGGTGCAAGTGAACCAGATTCAGGGATGACAGGGTCCCAGCAACAACCTAACCTACCAGTTGGAGCATCCTCCCCCTGGTGGTCATTGTGCATCATCGCTACCGGTCGAACGGCTGCTTAGGCTTTTGTATATGTAGATATTGAATCATTATGTTGTATACCTGAAACTATTCACAATAGCCTCAAAATAAAAACAACCTGAATGTCCACACACCGATAAATGGATAAACAGTGTGGTCCATGCACACAATAGAACAGTGATGGCGAACATTTTGAGCTCGGCATGT